TAATGTTCAGGTCTCCTGGGCCTTCCTTCTATACTTCTTAATGTCACATTGCACAGTTAATACAATCAACCCATTATATTTTAAGATACAATATAAATTTACCTCCTCTAAATCTATTTTCAAGATATAAAAATCTTTTTAAAATAAATTTTTATTTAAATTAAAACAATCTTATTTTATATACCAGTCCCAGTTCCCTCTCCCTCCCACACTCCCATGGCCCCCACCAACCCCCATACCACCCCCATCCACTTCTCAGGAAGTGTAATGCTTTCCATGTGGGGTTCATCAAAGTCTGAAACATCATATGGAACGGAACCTAGGCCCTACACCATGTATCTAAGATAAGAGAGTATCCCTTTAAGAGGTGACTCAGTCATTAAAATGCTGCTTACAGAAGAAAGATTCTTTTTTTTTCTAGCTTACTTCTACGCAAACATTTCAGGAGTAGGGAGTGCTTGTATTTACAAATGCATTCAAACTCATGGCTTACAAATATTTTCTTCTTATCACTTGTTCCCCCAAAAGTCTTCTACTGCACCGCTATTTATTTTTTACTCGAGGACAAATAGCCTGTGTACACACCTCAGAATACTATTTCTGTATTTGTTGTCTTATCTTTCCTAAAAAAAGCATGTAAGTTTCTTGAAGTAGGGTCTTCAACTTCTTTCTTCATTGATGTATACCAAACAACTGCAAAAGTGTCAAGTGTAGTGACAAGAAAATCCATATTATTAATTGTTATTAATAGTAACCCATGCTTATTTGTTAATGTGGGGATATGGGAGTTATTTGTAATTATCTGCAAGATCTTCTTTGTTTAATCTCTTTTCAGTATGAACATGAGATGTATTTAGAAATAGTACATCTCTCTGAGTTTACATGTGTATATGTATGTATGTGTGTGTATGTCTGTATGAATGTGTTTAAGTGTGTGAAAGACAGATGATAGATAGATAGACAGACAGACAGACAGCAGACAGACAGACAGATAGACAGACAGATAGATAGATAATGCACAGGCGTTTGTAATAGTAACTATTGTAAAGTTTACAAAATCTGGAATGATAAATGTAGCAGAAAAACAGTTTCCAAATCTAGTGAAAGCAACAAGAATTCAAACATCAAAGAGGCTTTTAGAAGGCAAAATAGATGATAAGAGAATAAAACTTTCCACTGAGTATTATAGTCAGGTAATTGTGATAAAAAGAATCTTTATTTTAACACATTAAAAGTCAAGTAGAAGACAAGTGTTTGGGCATGGCAATAATAAGCCCCTTGACTTTTATCAGGCAGTTTTAAATCTCAAGCCATGCATTCCTGAAATTATATTCATTTTTGAGAAGAGATTACAGTATGGTCTCCAAAGGAATTTGAATTTATCTCTTCTCCAACCATGATTGAGTATAAGTTTACACTTTCAGTAGAAGGGGTAGGATACAAGTGATGGGAAATAATTTCAATATTACCTATAAAGTACTAATACAGTTGAGACAAGAAAGGGGAAAAACTGAGAACAAGGGTCAAGGGAAGTCAAATGTGGCAAGATCTGCACTGTGATCAATCTAGGATTTCCTGTGGAATTGCTGAGCACATGAAAGATGTGGTGGTTATGAGCAAATGTAAGGCTATATACTGAATAACAATGCTACATAGAGTAGAAGATGAGAGACAGATTTCCACTGAACTTCCTGCTGCAAGAAACAGATGTCTTGGAGGGAAAACACATCAGATAAAATCTGATATTGACTAATATGGCCTTTGAGTGAGGACATTACAGAAGAAATGAGAACATCACAAAGGAATCTTAAAGACATCGGTTCTTGTCAATTTTCCAAGTATGCTAGAATTCATGACTTTATAAAATAATTGTGTACTAAAGCCCACACTAGAAGAATGAGGAGATAGATTGGTGAACATAAAAATGATATAGCTTTCCCTAGGTGTAGGCAGTTAGCTCTACCCCAGAAAGTACTCTGTGTACAATTCTTTCATGTAGATAGGAATGCTGGACATGAATGTGCAGCAGGGACAAAAGCTACACATCAGCATTTGAATGTTTCCTTGAGACTTTAAAATTTGTGTTTAACTTGTGTGGTTGAGAAAGGGGGAGTTTGTAGGGAGGAGATTACTCACCAGACCAGTGCCCTTCTCTAATACACTGTTGACAGACAGTCAACTCAAGGGCATAGAACCAAGCAGAAAACTCTCAGATGGTGGAAGTCGTCTAGAACGGCAGTAGGTTTGACAGATCTGGATGTACTCTGATCTATTATGACACATAACCAGATACAAACTCTTCCTAATCATATGTCAGAGTCCCAGGTGCAACACCATAAACAATTCATGGAACTGTGTGTAAATTATCAGCTTGGAAAAGAAGTAATGGTGCCATTCCAGCTATGCTACATAATCCTGTGCTTTGGAAGAAATAACTAATATGTGCTTGAGACTTTATACTGTGTAACACCAATGCTAAGATGTGATTAGTGTCTGAATAGATACAGAATCAGGAAGTAAATTTATTGTTTCTTGGAACAGGTGACAGTTGGTCTATAGAAATGTTGAACCACTGTGAAGCTTCTATTATATAACCTCTACACACTATACTCATTTGGGCAGAAATCTGAAAGTATAGTAAAGATAGCTGTTAAATAATCTATGAGAGTGTACATATATGAAGGGAAAGGGATTCCTGAGATCCTTTTGGTTATTGAAGTAAGTCCCTGAGATCAGGGTAAATTACCTTCTCAAGAGATATTGGACAGTCAGGCAGACTTCTGAGGTCCCTCACACCACATCATTCTTGCAGGGCAATCTCCTTTTGGATGCACATAAAGAATAACTGGTTGGCCTACAAACTGGTTGGCAGCAAATACTCTGTTTCAACAATATGAGGAAATTTGGTTGGCATTTGAGTTGGAAGATACTTGTGTGTCAACTGGCTGTCAGAGTCTGGAAGTTGCTATGGAGTTATTTTTCAGAGGACTGTCATCAGTGGTACTATGACTCAAATACAAGTGCTCACAGTAAGCATATAAAACTATATTCATGAGCAATTCCACTCTTAGGCATACACCCAAAAGATGCACATTCATACAACAAGAACATCTGTTCCATTATGTTCATAGCAGCATTATTTGTGAAAGCCAGAACCTGGAAGCAATCTATATGCCCCCCAGCTGAAGAATGGATAAAGAAAATGTGGCGTATTTACATAATAGAGTACTACTAAGCAGAAAAACACAATTGAATCTTGAAGTTCACAGGCAAGTGAAGAGAACAAGAAACCATCCTAAGTGAGATACCCCAGTCACAAAAAGCCAAACATGGTATGTACTCACTCATATATGGATTTTAGATATAGAGCAGAGGATTATAAGCCTACAATCCACTCCACCAGAGAAACTAGGAAACAAGGAGAACTTTAAGAGAGACATGATCCCCTGCAGAAAGGGAAAAGACAAAGTCTCCTGAGCTAATTGGGAGCATGGTGGGAGGGGAGATGGAGCTAAGAGGAAGAGAAAGGGAGAAGAGGAGGAGAGAGGACATGAAGGAGCAGGAAGATTAAGTCAGGGAAAGAAGAGAGGAGAGTAAGAAAAGAGATACCATAACAGAGGGAGCCATTATAAGTTTAAAGAGAAATCTGGCACTTGGGAAATGCCCACAGATCTACAAAGATAACACAAACTAACAATATAAGAAATAGTGTAGAGGCTACCTTAAATTCCCTTCCCAGATAATGAGATTGATGACTACCTTATATGCCATCCTAGACCCTTCATCCAGTAATTAATAGAAGCAGAAGCAGTCACCCACAGTTAAACACTGAACTGAACTCCTTGAATCCAGTTGCAGAGAGAGAGGAGTGATGAGCAAATGGGTTAAGACCAGGCTGGGAAAACCCACAGACATAGCTGACCTGAACAAAGGGGAGCTCATGGACCCCAGACTGATAGCTGAGAAACCAGCATGGCAACATTCCAAACCCCCTGAACGTGGGTGTCAGTTAGGAGGCCTAGGAAATCTATGGGGCCTTTGGTAGTAGATCAATATTTATCCCTAGTATACAATGGACTTTGGGAGCATATTCCACATAGAGGGGTACTCTCTCAGTCTAGACACATGGGGGCGGGCCTGGGCCTTTCTCCAAATGATATGACAGACTTGAAGATCCCACAGGGAAAGCCTCACCCTCCCCATGGAGCAGAATGGGAATGGGATAGGGGGTTGCTAAGGGCCAGGGGAGGAAGGGAGGGAGAGGGAACTGGGATTGATGTTTAAAGCAAGTTGTTTCTAATTTAAATAAAAAAAGGAAAACTACATTCACTAGGGCAATAGTGGCACAAATGTTTTGGTGCGATCAACAGACTTTTAATATAGTTAAAGTCAATTCCAAGGAAACAAACCATATTTTGAAATTTAAGCCAATGAGCAATCTTGATGTGACAAGTCATAGACTCTCAACAGGAGTTAAAGGAATTTTATATCTTTCAAACTGACTTCTAAACATCTAATTTAGGCATGTAGATTACTAGCTTGTGGTAAATATCAGCTTAGTTTATAGAGAAATACTTCTCACAGTAGTCAGTGATTATTGTCAGAGATTTATGATAATACTACTGATAATAATTTACTAATTCTGTGGCATGATGGTCAAATATTGAATAAAGAATCCCTGTCTGTACAAAACATTATGAAAGATATGATAGAAAGAATGTAACAGTCTAAGGAGAGGAGAATAATTATGAACAGCAATTTCCTCCTGGTCTGACATGACCATCTGTAATCAGGCAGGCAAGGTGGTTTCAGAGATATCAAAAATAATTTGGGCAAGAATCAACATGTAGAAAAGAAGTAAAAAAATTCCAGACACACATAAGTATGTGGCAATAAAACTGCTAACATTCCCTGAAGATAGGCAGACATAGTTCACTAATGAGGGATTCTGCATGTGACTTCTTTTTGTCCAGTGGCTCGCATGCCCTTGGGGTAATCTACTAGAATATAAGAGTAGCACTAGCCAAATGTATGACTCCAGTGAGCCAGTTTTCCAGAGACAGCACTCATCCTCTTTGGAAACTTCTCAGGGATGGAGCTGCCATTGAGTCAACTACACATCTGTAAGTAAACTCTCTACTATGTGGCTCTAAGTAAACGTATTAAATTCAGTGGTTCACTGAGTTTGCTTTATTGGATTTCTTTCTTTGGAATCTTTGATGTTTCATCTGGTGTGAAGAAATATTTGTTGATAGCTTTTCAGGAGAACTCTGCATAGACTTCGTAAGATCTCTTAAAATCGTTTTTTTTCTTGAAAGCAAGTGTACCACAGTACAAGAGACAACTGGATCAGTAGTTCTCAAGGTCTTTACCTGGAGACATGTTGCAAATGTCCAGGGTTTGACTGTGTTGTCTCTATTGAAGGGAAAGAAGAAGGAAAGTGTTACTGGTATCCAATGAGTAGAAATAATGGGGATCTTTAAACAATTCCCAATGTATAGGACATCTTACAGAACAAATAATACAGCTAAAAAGGACAATGTTTCAGAGTTTGTGAAATTGAGAATTACAAAGCATATAAAACCAGTGAGTCCAATTGATCTTATCTCAAGGCAAAGAAAACAAAATTTGATCCTGGGTATTGTATATGAGCTTTCACATTAGTATAAATATGAAGAATTTCTGATTTCTGAAACCTGATTAGACAAATGGCAAATTCTGTCCTTTACTATTTTCCAGTTTAACAGAAGTCAAATAACATCAAGAGTAGAGCAAGGAGTGCTGACAAAGTACCATATTTTGTAGGTGTTATATGCAGAAAAGGAAAGATAATAACAAAATATTATTTTTTGAAATGAAATAGGAGGACATTGTTACAGTTTTAGATTTTTTGATAATTTCATACGTGGTGAATATTGTTTCACTCCTCCGACTCCTCAAAAGCCCTTTCTCATGGTCCCTCTAAAGTTCAGGGATGCTTTTTCTTTAATCATTATACTCACATTTATATGTACATCTAAACATACAAACAACTGCTGAATCCATTCAGTGTTGCTCACATGTCTATGATTTTCAGGCAGACCAATTGATACTGCATAACCAAAGGACACTTTTTCTCAGTAAACATTCTGGACCTTTAGCATTGATACCGATTCTTCTCTTTTCTCTACTATGTTCCTTAAGCATCAAGTTTTTGCCTTGTGTTGTACTGCTTAATGACTAGCAATTTCTAGATTGAAGTCAGTGCTGATCATTGTCAAAAATGTTATATTATATATATATATTTATATTATTTAACTTTTTACACATGTTACTCTCAGTTCCCTTTCCCTCCCCTCCTGTCCTGTCCCCCCATTCCTCCCAACCTCCCACCCTACTCCATCTCCCATATGTTCCCCAGGGAGGGTAAGGCCTTCCATGAGGGATTTTCAGAGTCGGTCATATAATACCAGGCAGGGCCTAGGTCCTCCACCATGTGCCCAGGCTGAGAAAACATCCATCCATGTGGATTTGGCTCCAAGAGCACATTTGGATGCCAAGGTCCCATAGATTGCCGGGCCTCTTCTCTGACATCCAAGTTTGGGGGCAGGGGAGTTACCTGGATCAGCCCCATGCTGGTTTCTCAGTCATCAGTCTGGGGTCCATGACTTCCCCCTTGTTTAGGTCACCTGCCTCTGTGGGTTTTGCCAGCTGGGTCTTGATTATTTTGCTCATCACTTCTCTTTGCAACTGGGTTCCAGGAGTTCAGTTTGGTTTTCAGCTATGGGTGTCTGCCTTTGCTTCCATCAGCCACTGGATGAAGGTTCTAGGATGGCATATAAGGCAGTCATCAATCTCATTATCAGGGGAGGGCATTTAAGGTAGCCTTGTCAAAAATTTTAAGTGTGAGTGATTTTATAGAGCAAAAAATGTAAGTCAAATCATCTTATAGAATTTCTTTTGCAATATCCTAGTGACAAAGTTTATTTTATCCAATGGCAATGACCTCTGATAAAACAAAGTCTCAGAACTAAGGCTATATTCGATCTGTAAAGATTCAAAAAGTTCTGATTGGTGGTGTCTTGCTTTCACTGTTAGCCAATAATTAGACATTTGGAAAATCATTTAGCCACGTAAAACTTCTGATTCATAAATATATTCATATTACAATTATGATATTCAATCTGCTCAGAGAATTATTATGAGGAAAAACTTTAAATAAAATAATCTGAAGTTTTTGATGAATTGATAATCTGTTGAATTTTATTATAAATTAGCAATTCCAAGTTGACATCACTTTTAGGACAGTATTCTCTTTATCTGTAGAAGGAAGTTTTTGTCCCACCTCCTTCCCCCAGACATTTGGTCCCAAATAAACACACAGCGGCTTATATTAATTATAAACTATTTGACCTATGGCTCAGACTTATTACTTTGTAGCTATTATAACTTAAATTAGCTCATAATTCTTATCTATGTTTAGCCATGAGGATTGCTACCATTTCTCAGTAAGACATTCTCATCTTTCTTCCTCTATCTGGCTGGTGACTCCCTCTTTGCCTTTGTTTTCCCAGAATACTCCTAGTCTTATAGCTCTGCCTATATTTCCTGCCTGGCTACTGGCCAATCTGTGTTGTATTAAACCAACATGATAGACAAATTTTTACAGTGCACAAAAGCATTAGCCCAATGTTCTGTATTACTAATCATCATGTGTTTATTATCTAACATTTAGAGAAAGCAAAGAGATAAACTGCTATCCTTGTCATTTCCGTATCAAAAATGCTGACAACAGATATGAAGATTAAAAATTACAAATTCTTCAATAGTTTGGGAACAAAATGAATTTAAACTCCAAAGACACTAAACTGTCTAAAGAGAATGACTTAAAAATATTAGTTGAGACTTTATTTCAGTTCCATACATTTGTAAAATACAGAATCACTTATGAAACAATGCAAAAATATGGGAAGTCACCTGTTCCTCAAACCATTATACAGGAAAAAATGGTTAATTACCGAACTACTCACAGTGAGTTTATCTGTCATTCCAAATATTCAATATCAAGTAAGGAAGTAAAGAAATCTTTGGCCTGATAAAACTTTCCTGAAATGGTTATACCTTGAAAGACTCATATTACTGCTTCATCCCTAAGATGTTCTTGTTTCTATGTAGCAGGGACAATCTTGATGCTGGTGTTGAACCTGCTCCTGTGGGAGAAAGCTGCATCAATTCCAGAATGTCATACAGAAGAGGGAGGCTGTTGGAACCCCCTTGTGGAAACCTTTAACAGTGCCATCAACCGAGCTGAAAATATCCGTAATCTTGCTGAGCAAATGCATCAAGAGTTTGTAAGTAGCTTAACCTTCATTCTCATGTTTTAAATGCACTAGAAACTGAGACACTAAGTGTTATAACCCAAATATCAGAAAACACACTTTCATTGGTAAAGCAAACATCAACTACTGAAACATTGACCGGGTCAATGGGACAATTACATGGAATTTCATAGAATCTAACCATTTTTCTATATTTTCTCCAATTTTATTTCTCTTAAAAAACTGTGGTAGAAACCCTTAAAAAGTCCTGAGGTAAGAACACTCATTTCCTGATGGTGCACTCAGGATCAAAGATTTCCATTGTCCATCTTTATTTAGCACTGTAGAGGTTGTGTGTTTCAGTAAATTTGGAACAGAGATAATCTAATGCTTGTGAAAAGGCAAGAAAGAGAGAGAGAGAGAGAGAGAGAGAGAGGGACAGAGAGAGACAGAGGCAGAGACAGAGAAAGAGAGAGATACAGAGAGAGAGATCTAGCCTTTCAAGAATCCCCTAAATACTAGGAATTGGGGTTAAAAGATTTTTAGTGGTAGGATTTGTTCAATATCAAGGTATGATATAAGTGGGTCCCTTCCATCCTTCCATCCTTCCTTCCTTCCTTCCTTTCTTTCTTTCCTTCTTTCTTCTTTCTTTCTTTCTGATTGCTACAAGTCATTTCTCAAGGGCAGAAAACACAAACACAGAGAAAATATTATGGTGGACATCAAGAGAATATGTGTTGTTTGCAATAAACATGTATTAATGTTGGGTTTTTACTGACTAGATGTTGTTTTTGTCCCCCTTAACATGACTCAGTTCCACAATGAATTCTCTTCCAATGCGTTTGCCAATCTGGTAAGTACCCTTCTTTCTGGAATCTCTAAGGAGTCTCATGTCACCGACCTCAACTTAGAGGAGAAAGCACTAAACAGAACTTTTATTTCATATTCTTAAGTGACATCTTTTCTACCTTTTCATAACCTTGACAATAGTCTATTACCCTTCTTGAATTAGCTGATTGTTAGAAATAAGTCAGATACTCTAAATTATTTATTTAAATAAGTTCAATATCACAAAACATGCAATGAATAATATAACACATGGACATTAATTAATACTTTTTATACTTTGATTCTTCATTGCTTAGAGTTTTCTACAAAATAGCCTATTTTTCATGAGTAACTTTGTCACAATGAGCACAATTTTATTCTAAAACCACTATATACTTTTATTACACAGCTATATGTATTCAGTGTTCACCGAATAAATTTGAAATTCTTATGTCTGGGTAAGGAAATATCAATATTTCTGATAGAAAATAGGAATATTAATAAATGTGTGTGATGGTTTTCTGCTGAAATACTAAAGATGATAATTAAAACACTTCTTGATAAATTTGCTTCTTTCTGAGTTTGCTTACCAACTAATAGCTTTTAGGAAGAGTGTGAAGACAGGAGAATAAAAGAAGAGTTAAATATTTCAACAGTTAGTGAAATGGTAAATTAATTTGCAGATCCAATAGACATGGAATTAGGTGATGGACACTTTCTTAATTCTTTAATTTCTATTTTATATGAGTACTTATTGTTAAAAATTACAAATTCATCAAGATGCATTAATATTCTGGTCATGAACTCATTTATATACTTCTGAAATATAACTTAATTGTTTTTATTTGCAGATTACACGAATGAATAGGAGGGATCAGTTTGTTCTCAAGGCAAGACTGTACTGCCATGCTAATGATACGAACCCTCCAGATCGTGGAACCGAACACATGAATATCAAAGTGAGTTTCCATTTTGGGTTTTTCACTAAACACCAGAAGCAATACACTGGGTTTGTGGTGCCGTCAGCTATTTCAGTCATTATGACATATGTGGTAATCATACATGCAGAAAACAATGGAGGCAAAGTATTTTAAAAATCACAGTATATTGTCAATAAATTATAAATAAAATAAAATACCTAATAACAGTGTAGCACATTCCTAAATAGTTCATTTAGAGAATGGTATTTTAGCAATGTCACTCACTAGGTCACTTTGAGCTAAATTGGCTATTTATGGTTATAAACTCACTTCTACTTAACTTATAAAAATGTAGGTATATTAATCATATATTGCTAATGAGTTCTTCATGGTGACCTTCTACACTATTGAATATTATACCATATCTTCATGATTTTCAGATCTGTTTTGGTTTTATTTCTATTTTAATCCATCTTTTCAACTCTCTATAATTGTCTATGTCTTAACTGAAAGCCAGATGAGCAGAATAGTCCTCTGAGATACAATTATTATGTTCCTTAAGATACAACAATGTCCCAGTTCACAATGAGAAGTTCAACATATTACAGCAGTTCTATTTTATGTCAGCAATCTTCTCCTTATCTCCCTGTAATAACATATCTGAATATTATTTAAATTGAATAATATAAGGGAAAATTAGGACAGAGATATAAAGGAAATGTATTTTGAATGCTACAGTATTGCTAAACATATCACAAAGCACTCTCTTAGCATTGCTCTATTTGAAACTTCCAAAGATATAAAAGGTGATATTATTTGAGTAAAAAATGAAATTGAGGTATTGAAAAGCTGTATTTACACTTGTATAAAAATTAAGAATTCAAGTGTGCCCTTCATCCAAGCACAGACTTCAGTTTGAATCATATGATATCATGGTCCCAGGTATAGCCATCACCTTTGCCTGCTCCTTTCCTTAATTGCCTTCTACATCTTTCTATTGTAATTAATAGGCTCTAGTCTACTCTCATTTTCATGTCCACTGGGATACTAACAAACATCGATAGAGTGAATAATTTCAGTCAGATATGAATATTAATTACTGATTCCCATTGAGTCTGTTATTAAAGCCAATGTTCTTCATATATACTTTTTCACTTATACATAACAACAAATATCCTACTCACTCAGAGGCAGAGGCAAGGGAAAAGCCCATCAATGAGTTCAATGCTTTCTTCAGTGTGTCCTTGTTCTGATGTCCTGAATTCACCTAGAAATCATAAATGAGTATTAATGAATGCCGTGGTCTAATGATGTGTGTTAATCCTTGAGTGAAAATTATTTCAGTCACTTGTCCCTCGATGGCGGCATCTATCTTTCCTGAACGAAACCTTATTAGCCTCTATTGAGCCACAGCAAGACCTGGTTTACCAATTGATAAACAAAGTATCAAAATAATGAAGATCTCAATGGAAAGATACCTGTTAGCATTTCATGGGGAAAATGACATAACCTCAGAAAAATGCTAATTTATAAGCATCATAGTTTGTTTTATTTTTGTACACAATAGGCTAACTGTTTGAAATTTACATTTCCACACTGTGTAACATCTATACAATATGTGTGATATATACATAGAAAAATGTGTTTGAGTTCAGCTTCTTCACATAAACATTACAAGTAACTCACCTGCTGTATTGAAATGATTTTAATTCAATGACTCTGTTGTGTTTGCTTAGAGCAAAAAATATCTAAAAACTTTGATCAATTATGTGGGTGCCTGGACGAGCCCTCTATACCATCTTGCACTTGAACTGAGCACCATGCCAGATGTCCCTGAAACTATCCTTTCAAAAGCCAATCAAATTGAAGAGAACAACAAAGAACTCTTGGATGACCTTAGGTGGATACTCACCAAGGTAAGCAAGTTCCTATTAGTTATTCTCATTCATACGAGAGGTGAATTGTCTGATTTTTAAAGTATTCTGAAAAATCCCACCTTGCCAGAGTGAAATGTATATACCTCATCTTGTGGACAATCATCTCCTAAGACAGTGGTTCTCAATGTGTAGGTCACAAATCTTTTGGGTATCCAATGACATTTTCACATGGGTGGCTTAAGATCACTGGAAAACACAGATAATTACATCATGATTCATATTAGTAGCAAAATTACAGTTTGAAGTAGCAACAAAAATAATTTTATATTTGGAGATCACCACAACATAAAGTGTTTTAAAAGGTCGCAACATTAAGAAAGTTGAGAATGAGTGTCCTAAGAGGTCTCTGGCAGGTCTAACCTTCCCTCAGATGATACTCTCCACCTCTCACCCCAGGGAGCAGAAGGAAACACAACTCTTCCTTGTGTGCATTTAGAGGACACCTTTCCTGGGTGGAGTGAAAGGAACTCAGCTCTTCTGACAGTTATCTCTTAGCTCTGCATAGTAAATCACCATCTGATCCTCATCACATGTGAGGTGTTCATGCACAAACCGCATGGATAATAGATTTAGTTGAAATAAATAAAAAGAATAGCGTTGCATATATCTATGCTTCTATGAAATATAGAATACATGTTAGAGATTTCTGAATGAGAAACTGACACCACCCCCTCCACTGTCCCAAAGTAAAAAACAAACTTTCCCCCTTTCCTCTATTTCCTTCTGAAGGGGTGTGCTTCATCTGCAATTAATTACATATTAGGACAAAATACACATGAGTCTTGGTCATTGATTTTAATTGCTTGAGGGTCTCCCGGCCTACATAAATGAAAATCCATACCTTTGTTGGAAGCAGTATTTATGAATGTATTTCTATGATTGGACACACAAGAAACAAGGAGAAAGAAACTTTACTAATATAATCAATAAGTAACTAAATATCATTTTGATTTTTAGGCCTATCCTACAGCAAAGATAAAAGAAAAATTCCCCAACTGGGAACATCTTCCATACCTAAAATCAAATAACAAAGACAATAAGTTTTTGGCAATGTTTAACCTTTCCTACTGCCTACGCCTTAACATATTCTACACGGCAAATCATCTCAGAACACTGAAGTGTCGAATAACTGGGAAAGATTGCTAAGTGCTTATCGGGCCCATGTGCTTTGGAGATGGTCCATGACAGTTCATTGCTAAGAAGTTTCTTTTAATTTTATACCTTGTGAATGCATGTGTGTGTATACTGAACAACTTTAAAAAATAAAATATTTCTCTTTAGAGACGTCCAAATCTAAATAACCTATTGTCTATTGTTCATTAAATAAAATATCTATCATTAATGTTAGAATCAAATTTATCATAAATATTAGATGTTACATTTGAGAAAAATCCACAATTTACTTCACAGGAAAATAATAGCAGTCAAGTTATTACAACCAAAGTATAAAACTCTCAATTACCTAACAAGGAATGCAAATTTTATAAAGCTTAGTGAAATTGAGACTGTCCTTGGAAACTAATGTTCACATTGGAAGCACAGTCAAGCCAACACAATTGCTATGTGATGCCACAGTCTCAAGAGGATTTTGGAGGAAGGGGAGCAAGGAGTGTATACAATAAAGATACACCAAACTCATGCATGAAATTTCAAACAGTCAATTTTTAAAAACTAAAATTTGTTGTAGGATGCAAATGTCAATTTCTCGAAACCTCTTCACTGTGCCATAAACCCCACTATAAATTTTCTTCTCCATTGCATGGTGACAGTTACACTGTTCATGTTTTGTATTCTTTGTGTCAAACAAGTCCTACTTTGTGTAAGATCATTTCATTTGAACTAGACACACTCTTCATATAGTGTGTGTCTTAAAACCATAGTCACTTTAAGATGTAGATACCCCAGGGATATCTGCCATGGAATTTCGATGAAGCAGTTAGTTGCTTTACCTACTGCAGAAGATAGAAACCTTCTTGTTTTCTATTATCAACTGTTTGTTATTCCGTTTTAATTATACCTTAAATGTTAGGACATACAGTGCTTTGATATTTTTAACTCTAGGAACTTTTAAATTTTCCTCTCTGATTTCTTCAGTGACATGCTAAACTTTAAATCATTCAAACTCTATGTATTTGGGTAGATTATGCAGTTTTCTTTATATTACTTTCTTATTTTATTTTACTGTGGTCTGAAAAGAAACAGGAAGTTATTTTATTCTTCTGCATTTGGTAAAGACCTGATATTGACTTTGAATATGCTTAATTGTATACTTAGGTTTTATTATTCTAACTGTATCTTCACCTTCATAATCTGTCTTTGATTCATTTGTTGTATTTCTTTCCTTTGATCTTTCGTGATCCACAAACTCCTTTTATTTTTTCTATGTAATTTGTTTGTTTCTTGTCTACATTTTAAAACTTTCATTAATAAAATTTGTTCCTTTGTTTTAAAACTTGAATTCAGTTTCCCCTTCCTTCTCTCTTTCCACTCCCTCTGACCATGCCCCCTCTGCCCCTACCCTATTCACCCCCCTCCTGTTTCTGTTCAAAAAGGGACAGGCATCTCATGGGTGTCAAAAAAGCATGCCATACCAAGTTGAGGCAGGACTAAGTTCTTCCACTTGTATTACGTCTGGATAAGCAAACCAGTATCAGGAATAGCTTCCCAATAGCCAGCCAAAGTGTTAGAAACAGGCCCTGCTCTCATTGCTATGAGTCCCATAAGTAGACCAAGTTATACAAGTGCCACACAATTGTACAGGGCCTAGGTCAGCCCTCTGCAGCCTCCCTGACTGTCAGTCCAGTGTCTGTGAGCTTTTTTGAGGCCAGCTTATTTGTTTCTGTGGGTTCCCTTGTGATGACCTTGACGCGCTGGCTTGTATAGTCCTTCCTCCTTCACTTCAACAGGATTCCTGGAGCTCTGTCCAGTGCTTGGCTGAGAATCTCTATATCTGCTTCCATCAGTTGCTGAATGAAATCTATATGATAACAATTAGGGTAGTCACCCATCTGATTATAGGGGAATGACCCATCTATTGCTAGGTATCTTATCGTGGGTCATCCTTGCAGGTTTGTGAGAGTTTCCCTTGCACTAAGTTTCTATACTTAAGATGTGCCCAGATCAGGATAGCTCTTTCATTACTCTCCCACTCCATCCCAACCCCAACACAATAGGTCATGTTCCCATTCTCAACCACCCCCTGCTTACCCAGGATATCTCTTCTGTTTTCCCTTCATGAAGAAGTCTATTCATTCCTCTTTGGGCCCTTCTTGTTACTGAACCTCTATGGTGCAGTAGATTGCAGCATGATTATTCTTTTTTTGGAGCTAATATTCACTTGTAAGTAAGTACATACCATGTTTATCTTTCTGGATCTGATTTACCTCACACATGATATTTTTTAATTATTATTTTTTTTTAATTTAAATTAGAAACAAGGTTGCTTCACATGTCAATTCCAGGTCCCTCTCCTTTTCCCTCCCCTCCTCCCGTGCCCTCCCACCAACCCCCCCAATATCCCCTCATTTCCCCAGGGAGGGAGAGGCCCTCCATGCCTCCATGGGGGTGTCCATAGTCTGTTATTTCATCCAGGGCAGGGCCTAGACCCTCCCCCAAGAGTTCAGGGTGAGAGGGCAACTCTCATTGTTGGATGGGAGTACAAAGTCCATTTGTATACCCGTGGTAAATACTGATCTACTACTCAAGGGCCAATAGATTACCTAGGCCTCCTCACTGAAACCCACATTCAGGGGGTCTTGATCAGTCCCATGATGGATTCCCAGTCATCAGTCTTGGATTCAAGAGCTAACCCTTGTCAGGTAAGCTGTTTCTGGGGGTTCAACCAGCCCAGTCTTAATGCCTTTGGTCACCAGTCCTCCCTCTCTGTCACTGTGTTCCTTGAGTTCAGCTCAGTGTTTAGCTGTGGGAGTCTGCCTCTTCTTCCATCAGCCACTGAATGAAGGTTCTGTTTCCCAGACTCTTTGGCCATGGGATTGTAGGCTGACACTCCCCAGATCTATGTCTAAAATCCATATATGAGAGACTACATGCCATGTTTCTCTTTTTGTGACTGGGTTACCTCTCTCAGGATGGTTTCTTCTAGTGGCATCCATTTGCCTACAAATTTCGAGATTCCGTTGTTTTTTTTCTGCTGAATAGTTCTCCATTGTGTAAATGTACCACATTTTCGCTATCCAATCTTCAGTTAAGGGGCATCTAGGTTGCTTTCAAGTTCTGGCTATTACAAATAATGCTGCTATGAACATAGTGGAACAGTCATCCTTGTTGTATGAATGGACATCTTTTGGAGTTGCTAGGTATTGTGGTAGGTTTATTCCCATTTTTCTGAGGAATCTTCATACTGATTTCCAAAGTGGCTAAACATGTTGGCACTCCCACCAGCATAAATTGTCATTGGTGTTTTTGATTTTAGCCATTCTGACAGGAGTGAGATGGTATCTCAGAGTTGTTCTGATTTGCATTTCCCGGATGGCTAAGGATGTTGAGCACTTTCTTAAGTGTCTCTTGGCCATATTAGCCTCCTCTATTGAGAATTCTCTGTTTAGTTCTGCAGCCCACTTTTTAATTGGATCCTTTGGTGTTTTGGAGACTTGCTTCTTGAGTTCTTTGTAAATTTTGGATATCAACCCTCTGTCAGATGTGGGGTTAGTGAGTATTTTTTCCCATTCTGTGGGCTGCCTTTTTGTCTTGCTGACTATGTCCTTTGCCTTAAAGAAGCTTCTCAGTTTCAGGAGGTCCCATTTATTAATTGTTGATCTCACTGTCTGTGCTACTGGTGTTATGTTCAGGAAGCTGTCTCCTGTACCAATTTGTTGAAAGGTACCACCCACTTTTTCTTCTAAGAGGTTCAGTGTGGCTGGATTTATGTTGAGGTCTTTGATACATTTGGACTTAAAGTTTTGTGCATGGCGATAAACACAGATCGATCCGCATTCTTCCTACATGCCTGCATCCAGTTATGCCAGCACCATTTTTGAAGATGCTTTCTTTTTTCCATTGTATATTTTTAGCTTCTTTGTCAAAGATCAGATGTTCATACATGTGTAGGTTAATGTCACGGTTTTCAATTCGATTCCATTGGTCTACCTGTCTATTTTTGTGACAATACCAATCTGTTTTCAGAACTATAGCTCTATAATAGAGCTTGAAGTCTGGGATGGTGATGCCACCGGATGTTGCTGTATTGAATAGGGTTGTTTTAGCTATCCTAGATCTTTTGTTTTTCCATAAAAATTTGATTATTGTTCTTTCAAGGTCTGTGAAGAATTGTGCTGGGATTTTAATCGGGATTACATTGAATCTGTAGATTGCTTTTGCAGGATTGCCATTTTTACTACATTGATCCTACCTATCCAAGAGCATGGGAGATCTTTCCATTTTCTGAGGGCTTCTTTTATTTCTTTCTTTAAAGTTTCAAGTTCTTGTGAAACAGGTCTTTCACTTGTTTGGTTAACATTACCCCAAGGTATTTTATGTTGTTTGAGGCAATTGTAAAGAGTGATGTTTCTCTGATTTCGTTCTCAGCCCTTTTATCATCTGTGTATAGTAGGGCTACTGATTTTGTTGAGTTGATCTTGTAGTCTGCCACGTTGCTGAAGGTGTTAATCAGCTGTAAGCGTTCCCTGGTAGAGTTCTTTGGGTCATTTATGTAAACAATCATATCATTTGCAAATAGTGAAAGTTTGACATCTTCCTTTCCAATTTGTATCCCCTTGATCTCCTTTTGTTGTCGTATGGCACTGGATAGACCTTCAAGTACAATATTGAAAAGGTATGAAGAAAGTGGACAGTCTGTCTTGTTCCTGATTTTAGAGGAATTGTGTTAGGTTTCTGTCCATTTAGTTTGATGTTGGCTGTTGCTTTGCTGTATATAGCTTTTATCATGTTTAGGTGTGTTCCTGTTATCCCAGATCACTCCAAGATCTTTATCATGAAGGGGTGTTGGATTTTGTCAAAGACTTTTTCAGGATCTTGTGAGATGATCATGTGATTTTTGTTTTTCAGCTTGTTTATATGGTGGATTACATTGATGGTTTTTCATATGTTGAACCATCCCTGCATCCCTGGAATGAAACCTACTTGATCGTGGTGAATGATTGTTTTGATGTGTTCTTGGATCCAATTTGCCAGTATTTTATTGAATATTTTTGCAGCAATGTTCATGAGGGATATTTGTCTGAAGTTCTGTTTCCTAGTTGTGTCCTTGTGTGGCTTAGGGATCAATGATATTGAAGACTCGTAGAAAGAGTTTAGCAAAGAACTTCTGTTTCTATTGCGTGTAATACTTTGAGAAGAATTGGTATAAGCAGTTCTTTAAATTTCTGGTAGAACTCTGCACTGAGGCCATCTGGACCTAGGCTTTTTTTTTGTTTGGGAGACTTTTGATGACTGCTTCTATTTCCATAGGGGTTATAAGTCTATTTAAATTGCTTATCTGTTGTTGATTTAATTTTGGCAAGTGATAGCTATCTAGGAAGTCATCCATTTCCTATAAATTTTCGAATTTTGTGGATTACAGGTTTTCAAAGTATGACCTAATGATTCTCTGAATTTCCTCAGAGTCCATTGTTATGTCCTGCTTTTCATTTCTGATTTTGTAAATTTGCATGTTCATGCTCTGCTATTTGTTAAGTTTTGACAAAGGGTTGTCTATCTTGTTGATTTTCTCAAAGAACCAACTCTTCGTTGCATTGATTCTTTATTGTATTCCTAGTTTCTACTTTATTGATTTCAGCCCTCAATTTGACTATTTCCTGGCATCTACTCCTGCTGGGGGAGTTTGCTTCTTTGTGTTCTAGAGATTTCACTGAGCTGATAGTTCTCTAGTATAACTATTCTCCAGTTTCTTCATGTGGGCACTTAGTGCTATGAACTTCCCCCGTAGCACTGCTTTCAAAGTGTCCCATAGGTTTGGGTATGTTGTGTCTTCATGCGTTGAATTCTAGGAAGTCTTTAATTTCTTTTTTTTATTTCTTCATTGACCCAGGAATGGAGCAGTTATTCATTATTCAATTTCCATGAGTTTGTAGATTTTCTGCAATTTGTATTGTTGTTGAATTCTAATTTTAAGGCATGGTGGTCTGATAAGATGCATGGAGTTATTCCAATTTTTTGTAGCTGCTAAGGTTTGATATGTTGCCAAGTATATGGTCGATTTTTGAGAAGGTTCCATGTGCTGGTGAGAAGACGGTATAATCTTTTTTATGTGGGTGAAATGTGCTATAGATGTCTGTTAATCCCAGTTGGGTCATTACTTCTATTAGACCCTTTGCTTCTTTGTTGTTTTTCTGTCTCATATTCCTGTCTAGTGGTGAGAGTGGGGTGTTGAAATCTCCCACT